ATAAAACACAACTTCGCTCGTAGGTTTCTCTTTCTCCACAGCAGGCTGCTGTTTCTCAAGAAAGGAAATTAGCTGCCGAGCTGCATTAAACTTCGCCTCCTAATAAATAAATGCCTCTGCCAGGAATTGAACCCGGGACTGTTCTTCTCACTTTCCCATCTGCTGCTACTCCTATAAACTGTTGACCATCTAGACAGTCAGTGCACAGAATCGCTCTGAAGATCAGCGGACTCTCGCCCTGACAGTGAGTCCATTTCTTGGGAGAAGATGATAACAACGTACTGCGATGGTTTCGATCCGCCAGTGAAATTTTCCGGGAGATTTTCCGAAAAATTTTTGCAATTTTGTATTGGCCTCGCCTATTGGGTTGTCCCGGCTTGCAAGAATCGACTTCTCCATCTTTTCCCCTGAGAAAGAAACTTTCTGACTGCTGAAAATTATTTTATCTCTTACTATCGTTCGATGGTAAATGCGTCTCAATGTTCTCTAAGGCGTATTTAGCGCAAGCTCGTTGGGCATCTTTTTTCCGAGTCACCCAGGGACCTCGAAAACTCCTCTCTACACCATTCAGAGGGAATGTTGCCGATGCCGAAAACTAAGATGGGAAAAAATATCCGCGTAATTCTTATGAAGAGCTCACCAGAGTGCGAGGGAGTTCTCGAGGCTTCATCTCGAGAAATTGCCAAGTTATTCGTCTTGAGTCTTCGTCATTTGTACCTCCGTAAGTTTCAACAGTCCTGACCGGAACGATTATGCTAATTTTTCCTGGGCGATTTCACCGTTGTAAAATTTGTAGATGAGCGATGTTGTTCTCAGATTGCCATTCGATCACTTCCTCCTTATGTGTTCCCACAGTAACGAATTGTTTCTTCCCACTTGTGTTATAAGGTTCCGATTTCGGAGCCTTTTCCGAACTTGAAGCTCTCACAGGTCCAATACCCTAATAGATAAACACTTTGATTATGAATGCAAAGGACGCAGGTTCTATTCCGGGCAAGACCATTAGTTACCTACAGTAGGAACAACGTCGTTATCGCCCTTATTCAAATCCTTCTCCACCTAAGACGATGGAAAACCTGTCTCCGATGATCCATATTCATATAATCGTATAACCAACACAGAGATTCATATCATAAAATTGAAGATCTGCGATTACGTAAAGTTGTTCGCGAGAGTCACTAACGCCTCCTATAATTTCTCACTGTCATATCGTTCAAATCTCCGTTGAGTAATCCCGCATATGGAGGACAATGAACTACTCTTTTTAGGTAAGTCTTACCAGGTTCACATCAGGTCGCATAACATATTGTCAAACACGCGATATGAAATGAATTGGAAACACTTGGTGAGTTACAATCCATCACCAGATCACGTGACTCGAATATCAACAAAGTAATTCCCACCTGCATCATCAAACCAACGGGTAAGCCCAGAGATATCCAAAGTCTATAATCCGAGGATAGCAGTGCTTCCCGAGACGACAAAGCGTTGGCGACTAGGATATCGACGATCTGAAGGGAAAAGGGCATTCGATTTCTACTAGGAAATGGTAGTATGATCTCCTAGTTTCAACTAGCAAAACCTAGTGTCTACCGGTTCTCACCAGGGCTTAGGCAGTGACTGAGCCTGCAGTTATACCTCTATACTAGCTATTACTCGCCTGGTCGAAGGCGTGCTGCGCAAGAAGGAAGAGAAGATCTCCTAGTGTTCCTTACCGAATACTATTCGATAGAATGGATACAGCGGAGTTTCATCCGTGACATGGAAAACACGCGTGAACAATTCACTTGGAGGGAAACAATTGTGTTATCGGTTGCGGAAACATATGCGTCTTACACTTTACACGGAGTATTACGCCACTTCACGTTAAACGGGTGAAACGAGTCTCACCCACTCTACGTGAAGTGGCATTGTAAAGTATTTTTCTCACTAGTGTTTTCTTCATATCACCAGGGCGGAACTCCATTGACACTATAGTGGAGTTTTACCCGTTTTACGTGAAGTTGCGTAAAACTCGGTAAAAAACGCGATACGTTTTTCACTAGTGTTTTTCATATCACTAGGGTGAGAGTCCATTGTATGAGTTATTATATACTTATCATATACGTTATCATAATACTCCACGGATGAATACTATGCAGGAGTATACGATATTTGCTAAGCCTCACCACAGTTTTAGCGTTTTTCACCCACTCACATGCGATATTTCTTCATCCGATCGTCCCCGTATCTTCATCCTAGAAGTAACAGCACTAATCACCTCGCCAACTTCGGGCTGTGGTTGCTGGGATGACATCGAAACTCACTGTAGAATTCCGTGCAGTAAAATCATCACGTGTTCTAATGGAATAAGGGGCGCTTCTTACGTGAGTTGAGATTCATATGTCAGAGATTAACAATCACAGAAATCTTTTGATTTTCTTGCAGCAGCCATTTTTGTATCGCATGACCAACCATCCCGATCTCCAGGCTACTCGAAACTCAAGACGAGGAGTAATCGCATGGACCTAGTGATGTGTCAAACACGATGGAAACATTCATAATAAGGATTGAAGAGCAGAGCCCGGTTCGATCGTTATCATTCGGAAATAACGCATTATAATGAGCGTTATCATTTGTAAGGGCTTGTAGTGAGAGACGTCTGTTCTCCATATCAAAGCACACACTCGTAAGTAATACAGTATTCATAGAATGAAGTTGGTAACTTTACGAAGGTCCACACGAAAGTGCCTGCTCATACTCCAGAGGAGAATAGGCAATGTGTAACAACGATCTAGGTCTTCCTCTCAGCTGCCTTCATGACTCACTGCTCGGTAATCAAGCACAGCATTGGAGCTCCTGTCATACGCTACGCATCCGTTCGAGAGGAATGAGCAACTGTCGGGGGAGCTTAACCTTACCTGATCATTTTGAAGCGATGCTTCTCAACTTCCCAAGTCTCGTGTTCTCACAACAATGACATTGATGCAATACGGTCCTGATCCTGATGAACCTCCTCGAGGGTAGTTCCGCAGCGCCGTCCATATCCATGCAGACTACCTCAAGTAGTCCTACAAGATCTCTGTCGATCGTGATGTGTCATACATCGTGCATTAGGCATGATACATGATGCATATCATACACCAGCCCAATAATCGGATGAGGAGTGCGAGCTCAGATTCAAACATTACTCAAGTTATAGTCCAGAAGACTCAAAGCAACACAAGGGTCCTGAGAACCATCGAAGTCTCTATTTCTCATTTGAAAGAATTTCTCCCTATTTGAATACCCAACCTGCGTCTCAGGGAATCACAAACACATCATTTACCACCACATAAGTCTTCCAAACTAATCTCTAAAATTGTTGCTATATATGTTTTGTTTCCCGAAAGCAGAAGTTCCCGAAGCGACATAAGCTACAGTAGACTACTGTAGCTTATGTCGCTTCGGGAACGACTGTCAGTAGTTTCACAGCCGACTTCTGAATATTTTCCTATACCGTGCCAAGGATCAAACCCTCGCCATGCTTTACTGGTATGCAATAGTTTCATATATGAAGATTGCAAGTTACGACTACAAGAAAAGATCATTGCATAACTTCACAGAATATTACAATTTCATATTTTCATAATTCCACAAACACAACCGGACATACTCGATGGCAGAAAAATACAACTTCTCTTTATCAATAATAGGGCCGAGACGGATAGCTTCCCTGAAATTGATGGCCTGCAAAGCTGTGAGGAGTATATCTGAAAGCACATGATATCCAAATCGATCACGTGATCGATTTCACTCACCCCGAAGGTTGGTTCTGTATTTCATAGGGGTCCTGTCTACCCGCGCCAATAACATAACGACTTGTCTGAGTCGGTTGATACGCCGGTTGGTACCTAGCGAAACCATCTTGCAATTTTCAGTGAACTGATTCAAACTCATTTATGGAAAATATGTATATCGTTTACACACCAGTACAGACACATTCTACGAGTAATATTCACAAATTCTACACCAGTTTATTAATTTTCACCCCACAAATACATTGGAGTTTCACCCGTTTTACGTGAAGTGGCGTAAAACTCGGTGAATAACGCGATTTTCGCGTAGTGCAGTAGTCGTGAAATGTGTTTTTCATATCACTAAAGTGAAACTCCATTCAACAGGTAGTATTCACAAATTTTACATTTGTTTATTAATTTTCATTCCACCCATTTCACGTAAGCCAACGAATTATTGCTATCCTGGACAGTGATTTTAACTATGGGAAAAACTCCCACTTCTGATCTTCAACAACACACACGTACGATTTCAAACTTCCACTCAATTTCCAGAGCAAAAGTAGACGATAAACTCCCACTATCGTTAAAACCGCAGTATGATGGAGTTTCACCCGTAATGCATATAGTACACTCTCTCACCGACTGAAAATGTCATCGATATAGAATGCGAGTTTCACGCTTAATCTTATACTAACATAATGCATACACTATTATGAAGTTTCATCCGCTTCACGTGAAGTGGCGTAATACTCTGTGAAGGAGGCGATATTCGCGGTGATATGCAATAGTCGTGAAATATATTTTTCATATCACTAGGGTGGTGAAACTCCAATACAATTCCACCCGTAACGCATGAAGTACACTTTCTCACCGACATAGAATGTGAGTTTCACATTTAATCTAATACTAACATAATGCATACAATTATCTATTTTAGTGGAAACCCCCTAAAATGTCGAAAATCGCACTGCTCGTTAAATAATTTCACTAGCGCTCAAGTTTTCGTCACTAAAAGTGGCACCAACCGGACCTATTCCGTATCTTCTTACCCATAACCTGCAGATATCTCTCCTTCCTGCCAACTCGCGGGTGGTGGAGGCCTCGGTGCTTCCAAGCGCATCCCTCCGCTTGGTGCATAATTGTATTCAGCCGGCCGCATCATGTATCTTCCCATTCTTTCATCAGCTCCCGGATACGTATTCATCACTCTAGTCGGAACATATTGAACTCCATCGAAATAATTCATCGGAATTCTCTCAAAATTTCCACCCGAAAATCTTCTATTTTTCGCTCCTTCTCTGTCGTACGGTCCTCCTGTAAATCGAGAAGACCCTTTTTTTCGACCTGACATTACCACACATTCAAAAATTTTTCAAAAATTCCCAAAATTTTTCCCACTTAACTCGACCAACAAAGAAAAACAAAACTGTCATTTTCCAAGCAAATGACCCCAAACCATAAGTTGCCCAATTTTCACAATAATTGCGATTTTTTTTCATAAAAATTCGAAGTTACACAAAAATAATGAAGTAAACTCAGCCACAGATGAAAAAAAGGATTATTTTTCCATGGTATTCACTGGAGTTTCACCCGTTTCACGTGAAGTGGCGTCGTAAAACTTGGTGAAAAACCCGATATTCGCGGTGATATGCAGTAGTGGTGAAATACGTTTTTATTTTACGGGCGAAACTCCATTGTTTTCCGCAAACTCGATAAATACTATTCAATTCCCTCGCAATTTTTCCGCGAATTTCCCCAAAATTTTCCCAACACATACCCTACTTAACTTTATACAACTTGTACACTGAAAATAAAGGTATCATTTCTCCCTAAAAAAATTCCCTCAACCTTTTCCCTTACTACCACTCTCGCTGCTCTTTCTTCGTACCGGATTCTCATTAGCCTGGGGAACTCCAATGCTATCCAGAAACGCCGCCAATTTGAAACAAGCGTCATTTTGGGAGTCCTACGCAAAAAAAATGCCAACAAATTCTAGCGGAGCGAAGCAACTACTTTTTTGCAATTTTTCCAATCTGATGTGAATTCCTTTTGTAATTGCGGCACCGTCACTGTTGATTGCCAAAGACCAATTTCATCTTCCGGCCGTACCCCCGCAGTTCCCAGTCCTTCACTATTAAATTCTTCCGTTTTTACCGCCGAACCATTCGGACTCTCCTCTTCCTGAAAAATGGAGTTTCACCACCCGTTTTACGTGAAGTGGCGTAAAACTCGGTGAAAAACGCGAAGTAGTCGTGAAATATACTTTTCACTAGTGTTTTTCATATCACTAGGGTGGTGAAACTCCAATGTTACGAAAATTCCGAGAGAATATCACATATCAATTTATATTCGCTCATTATAAGTTGAGTAACGATAAACATAACCAAATGAGAATTTGCCAAAAATTTCCTCAAAGTTTTCATATATATTCTCTCACGTAATCCCACAACCACATATAATACATTGCATGCGTTTAAAATGAACGAGGAATATTCAAGAATTGATTTTTTCATGAAGTTTTCAACCTAAACCCCCCAAAAAATTCACAGTTATATCAACCCTATGTGATTTCCCATTCACATAGAATAGAGCGATATGGAATGACGTGAATAACATAGGTGGTATGATTCTTTTTTGCGGCTGCAAAAAAGAGTTTCACCCGTGATATGAAAAACACTAGTGAGAAACATATTTTACAACTCACTCCGCGGAAAACAATTGTGTTCTCGATCGTGGAAACATATAATCAATACCACAACTTTCCCAACATCCCCATTTTATTACAATCTTGCTGCATATATGTTTCCACTCCATAACAGTAGCGCCCGCCCTATGAAGTCTTTGTCCGAAGTATCGTTGTAAGCGAATGTGAACCGATTGCAGAATATTCGCGTTCGGGTCGCCACCTGAGTGGTAAAATTTCATGGAAAAAATATCGCGGAAAAAATCACAAAATTGAAGTTTTTTGACAAATTTCCAACTTTTCACAGGAAAAAGTACTTTGGAGGAAGGACCACTTCACGGAGAAAATCTACTCTGCTCCAGAATTGAACATTACACTCGATTTCAATTTTGCGCGAGATTTTCGATCATATACGAAAATTTCCCGAAAATTTCCAGGAAATTTTCCACCCAGAAAATTCATTTCCATGACGAAAAAACACGTTTTTACTACAATTTTTACACAAATTCTCACTCCCGAAAAATCTCATACGATGTCTCAGAAGATACGAATACCAACGTTACGTTTAATCCCAAATCCTTTTTTTCTCTACTACACAAATGTATCGGAAAATTTTCCGAGAATCTCTCATAAAATCATATCCTCAAGAAATTTTCCGCCAAAAAAAAATCTCGGAAATTTTTTCCGAGAAATCATCCATTCCCGTTTACCATGCCGTGCTATCAAATCATCAACATTTAGTTTCAGCGTTTCAATAGCGTTCCGGGCAGCTTCGCGTTGACTGACTTTCCTCGTCGGATGCCAACATCCGATGAATTTCATAAGTAGATTAGAATATCCAACGCCGCCGTTTGCTTCCGGTATGTCCACCCGGAAGGAGACTGTGGCTCGATACTGAACATCGATCGGGCCTATTCCGTATCTTACTCGCTTGAACCTAAGATACTACCTCCAACTTCTCCCCGCCAACTCCAGCTGATCGGGTTTCATATTCCCAATCGAAAAGTCCAACCCCAGGGGCGGTATTCTTATTCGTCAACCTCTGAACTGCTCTGAAAAAAAATCACAATAATTTCGTAACTGGCGCGCGGTAATTATCTCCTACTCTTGTAAAACTGCCACCCAAGACACATGAGAATCTCCCAGGCGTTTCAGCGCGTACGGTACAACTTCCACAGAATCAATACGTTTTTCCGCACTGCCGGGATCGAACCCACGACCATCCCCAGCAGAAACCGCCTGCTCCCCCAACTGAACTGTTCGCTTCTCTTCTCCCCGCCTAGCGGCTTCCTGTCGCCTCCTTTCCCACTCCTAACAATATAATCGATCACTCGGGCGAGCGCGGTGGACCAAGCACCTCTGTAGTCATCATCGGCTGTACAGATGAAGTTGCTTCTTGAGACTGCCAATCGTCCAACGCCTGGGAATCCAAACACCCGGGTTCGATCCTCACACATCACATTTTAAACGACGATTTTTCTCAATCGAGCTTCACCCTAGTGCCATGAAAAACATATTTCACGACTACTGCATATCACCGCGAATAGCGCGTTTTTCACAGAGTATTACGCCAATATTTTTAAATTCACAAAACTATTTCTCAGGAAAATAGGATGAAAAAATTTTCCCTCCACGGAGAAAATTTTCCAGGATTCCGAAAATTCTTCCTTTCCCCTACAAAAACCAACTTGATTGAATTTGAAAATAGGACAAAAACAGGTGAATACAAACTCGAAATCAAACAGTAAAAATTTCTGAAAATTCCCCTAAACTGCGTAAAAATTTCCCAATCGGAATTTCTTACCCCTGCCGTTTACAACCTTATCAATTTTCTAACTCCCATTATCCATCCTAATTTTTTATCACAGCTTCCATAACGTTTCGAGAGAATTTTACATTCCTAAGCGTTCCCTGAAACTGCGTAAAAATTTCACAACCGGAATTTTTCACCCAGCCGTTTATAACCTTATCGACTCCTCGATTGTCCATCGTGATTTCTCTCATTACAGCTTCCATAACGTTTCGAGGGAGGCAAAGCGCATCCCAAATATCTGGCGTTGTAGTAGCGAAAGACTCCGCAGTGTCAAAGTAATTTTCCTCCAGAATTCTATTAACCTAAAAGGAAAAAAATTTACGGAAATTTTTTGATAAAATTTCGCATCGCGGATAGCAATCGAAATGAAAAGAAATCAGAAATCGTTCTGAAAAATCATGAAAATTTCAGAAAGTCGTAAAAAATGATAATTTTATGATTGAGAAAAATCTATATTTTTTCACAAATCGTGTTGAAGGAATATATGTTCGCTTTTTTCAGCTGAGCCCAGAAGTTTACTCAATGGAGTTTCACCCGTTTTACGTGAACTGGTGTAAAACTTCGTGAAAACGCGATATTCACACTACGCATTAGCCGTAAAATATGTTTTTCATATCACTAGGGTGGTGTGTAAACTCCCATAGATTATGGGAGTTCACACACTCCCAAAGTAGAAGTGTACAGAATTTCCCGAAATTTCCTCAAATTTTCCATATTACCACCAACACGAATATTTTTTTCCGCGCTGATTTTATGTAAAAGCCAGTAAGATTGAAATTAAGTCCACTACTACCCTTATTATTTCCACATCGGGTTCGCCTAAATCCCTCATATTCTCGAAAACGACTTCCATGAAGTTCATCCCGTTGCCGTCCACATTCTGTCCTCTTATGGGAGGCATTGGATGATCAACTATGAGAGAAAAAACGTCACGCGCCACAAAATTATTCATAAGGAAAAATATTTTTTTGATGGTAAAAAATATTCAAACTGGCCTGAACGATAGAACGAAAATAATTTTTTTTCGGTGGAAAAAATAATTTCTTCGGCTTTTTCGATAAGAATTACGGAAAAATTTCTCAAAAATTTCTTTTACTCTCAGAAATTTCCCAACTTCCTAATTAAGTGAAATTGATTTTTCCCCCAGTATTTTTTCTTCCAACCTAAAATCACCGAAAAAAGCATCCACAACATTTTCTTCACCGATTTTTTCCAAAATATTTGTTATTTTTCCACCTTCAAAAAATTATCCCCCAAAAATATTCAATCGATTCCTTTTGCCCTCACGCTCTTAGGAGCCGCAAGAAAATTCAATTTTTTCTGCGAAATTTAGTATACTTTACCATTTACTGCGGAAAAAAATAAAAATAAATGAAAATCCGCATCTCGTCGCTTAAACAGATCTTCACCAAAAACAACAACATACCGTAAATCCTCCATTTCAACTAACAGACGCTGAAAATCATAAATTCGCCAAAAAATTATTTTCTGAAAATTTTCGATTCATTAAAAAATTAGAGTACTGATGTTTTCTCCGAAGTCGTTTTCTTGACTCCATTTCGTAGCATATACCATGATTGTGAACCTGTTTTGCATCTTACGTGGTCAACCTCAAGATACGCCGGCATTTTTGCGATTTCTCCTTTTACGAGATTCGAAACCCCAAAATATTCGATAATTCATCGCCGCAACTTAGCGCGCGCCCAAAAATTACTGAAAGTCGATGCAGTCCCAAGGTAGGGCGCTTGCTGCGCGCCGCCCGCAAAAACTCTAAATCCGCCCTCGCGTATTTCTGTAATCGCCCGCCATTTTTCTTCTTCCGCCCACTATCTTGCTTCGCTCCGCTCGGGCTCTTTTTTTTTGGCCGGTGGTCCAAATGCGGACAATGTGCGGGCCAGATGTGGACACTCGGCTGTAATGGGCTTTATCAAGCCCCGAAGCCATCATGTCACGATGGGTAGTCTAGAACTCTGAGGATACGAGTGAGGTGCCTCTAGCCTCGCAGGTGAGCTGGCTTGCCGTCTCCAGTGAATGCACTATGTATATCATCAAGACTCGACTACCGACCGATCTGCTCGAGATGTCGGTCTCTCCTTGCGAAGCATTTCCGGGGTCAGAACAGCTGCAACGAGCTTCGGGTGCCGCGCTCAGTATTAAGGATCATAAAAGCTCAGGTGCCGCACATGGTGCTCAACCCGGAAACAGTGCCTCAGCCGAAGGTGTAGCCCAGCTACTGCAAGTCTTGGCCCCTGGCTCACATTGTACTTTCGTAAAGTCTTGCCCAGCGTATTTCCCATCTGAGTAAGAGGTAGTTGAATCATATGCTGAAGCTAATACGTTCGGACTCCGTTTATACATGATATTGTGAGTGCTCAGTCCGGACACCGTCCTCGCTCCGCAGCGCTGTGTGCTCGCTCCCACTGTGCTTCTTCATGCCACGACCACGGGCATTAAACGAATCTGCATAAAAAAGTGAATTTCCAAAGCCATGAAAGATTAGTTGTTTCAGATGAAAGCACGGAAACGCCTGCCCGGTAGCTTTTTATTGAATAGCCGATGCTCAGGTGAAGAACAGACCCCGTCCCGGTAACGTTTTACAGTACGCCTTGTATTTCAACCCTTCTTCGAGTTGGCATTTCTCAAAACTCGTTCTACAAAACTCTTGAGGTTTCCAGAAAAAGTTACCGAGTTGGTCAGTGACCAGAAGCAAGCGATTGTTGTCGAAATACTCAGGAAAACAGGCTACGTGTTGCGCACATGGTGCTCAACCCGGAAACAGTGCCTCAGCCGAAGGTGTAGCCCAGCTACTGCAAGTCTTGGCCCCTGGCTCACATTGTACTTTCGTAAAGTCTTGCCCAGCGTATTTCCCATCTGAGTAAGAGGTAGTTGAATCATATGCTGAAGCTAATACGTTCGGACTCCGTTTATACATGATATTGTGAGTGCTCAGTCCGGACACCGTCCTCGCTCCGCAGCGCTGTGTGCTCGCTCCCACTGTGCTTCTTCATGCCACGACCACGGGCATTAAACGAATCTGCCTAAAAAAGTGAATTTCCAAAGCCATGAAAGATTAGTTGTTTCAGATGAAAGCACGGAAACGCCTGCCCGGTAGCTTTTTATTGAATAGCCGATGCTCAGGTGAAGAACAGACCCCGTCCCGGTAACGTTTTACAGTACGCCTTGTATTTCAACCCTTCTTCGAGTTGGCATTTCTCAAAACTCGTTCTACAAAACTCTTGAGGTTTCCAGAAAAAGTTACCGAGTTGGTCAGTGACCAGAAGCAAGCGATTGTTGTCGAAATACTCAGGAAAACAGGCTACGTGTTGCGCACATGGTGCTCAACCCGGAAACAGTGCCTCAGCCGAAGGTGTAGCCCAGCTACTGCAAGTCTTGGCCCCTGGCTCACATTGTACTTTCGTAAAGTCTTGCCCAGCGTATTTCCCATCTGAGTAAGAGGTAGTTGAATCATATGCTGAAGCTAATACGTTCGGACTCCGTTTATACATGATATTGTGAGTGCTCAGTCCGGACACCGTCCTCGCTCCGCAGCGCTGTGTGCTCGCTCCCACTGTGCTTCTTCATGCCACGACCACGGGCATTAAACGAATCTGCCTAAAAAAGTGAATTTCCAAAGCCATGAAAGATTAGTTGTTTCAGATGAAAGCACGGAAACGCCTGCCCGGTAGCTTTTTATTGAATAGCCGATGCTCAGGTGAAGAACAGACCCCGTCCCGGTAACGTTTTACAGTACGCCTTGTATTTCAACCCTTCTTCGAGTTGGCATTTCTCAAAACTCGTTCTACAAAACTCTTGAGGTTTCCAGAAAAAGTTACCGAGTTGGTCAGTGACCAGAAGCAAGCGATTGTTGTCGAAATACTCAGGAAAACAGGCTACGTGTTGCGCACATGGTGCTCAACCCGGAAACAGTGCCTCAGCCGAAGGTGTAGCCCAGCTACTGCAAGTCTTGGCCCCTGGCTCACATTGTACTTTCGTAAAGTCTTGCCCAGCGTATTTCCCATCTGAGTAAGAGGTAGTTGAATCATATGCTGAAGCTAATACGTTCGGACTCCGTTTATACATGATATTGTGAGTGCTCAGTCCGGACACCGTCCTCGCTCCGCAGCGCTGTGTGCTCGCTCCCACTGTGCTTCTTCATGCCACGACCACGGGCATTAAACGAATCTGCCTAAAAAAGTGAATTTCCAAAGCCATGAAAGATTAGTTGTTTCAGATGAAAGCACGGAAACGCCTGCCCGGTAGCTTTTTATTGAATAGCCGATGCTCAGGTGAAGAACAGACCCCGTCCCGGTAACGTTTTACAGTACGCCTTGTATTTCAACCCTTCTTCGAGTTGGCATTTCTCAAAACTCGTTCTACAAAACTCTTGAGGTTTCCAGAAAAAGTTACCGAGTTGGTCAGTGACCAGAAGCAAGCGATTGTTGTCGAAATACTCAGGAAAACAGGCTACGTGTTGCGCACATGGTGCTCAACCCGGAAACAGTGCCTCAGCCGAAGGTGTAGCCCAGCTACTGCAAGTCTTGGCCCCTGGCTCACATTGTACTTTCGTAAAGTCTTGCCCAGCGTATTTCCCATCTGAGTAAGAGGTAGTTGAATCATATGCTGAAGCTAATACGTTCGGACTCCGTTTATACATGATATTGTGAGTGCTCAGTCCGGACACCGTCCTCGCTCCGCAGCGCTGTGTGCTCGCTCCCACTGTGCTTCTTCATGCCACGACCACGGGCATTAAACGAATCTGCCTAAAAAAGTGAATTTCCAAAGTCATGAAAGATTAGTTGTT